GAGACGTCCAAGAGGCATCCTGACCAGATGCCCAAACCACCTCAACTGGCTCCTTTCAATTCGGAGGAGCAGCGGTTCTATTCCGAGTCCCTCCCGAATGTTTGAGCTCCTCACCCTATGTCTAAGGCTGAGCTCGGCCACCCTATGGAGGAAACTCATTTCGGCCGCTTGTATCTGCGATCTCGTTCTTTCGGTCATTACCCAAAGCTCATGACCATAGGTGAGGATTGGGACGTAGATCGACCGGTAAATCGAGAGGCTGGCTTTCTGGCTCAGCTCCCTCTTCACCGTGACAGATTGGTTCAGCGTCCGCATCACTGCAGACGCGGAACCAATCCGCCTGTCGATCTCCCGATCCCTCCTACCCTCACTTGTGAACAAGACCCGGAGATACTTAAACTCCTCCACTTGAGGTAGAACCTCTCTCCCGACCCGGAGTTGGCAAGCCACCCTTTTCCGGTCGAGAACCATGGTCTCAGATTTGGAAGTGCTGATCCTCATCCCAGCCGCTTCACACTCGGCCGCGAACCTACCCAGCAAGAGCAGAAGGTCAGAGCTAGATGAAGCTAGGAGGACCACATCATCCGCAAGAAGCAGAGACGAGATTCTCCTGCCACCAAACTTGACACACTCCACACCAAGGCTGCGCCTAGAAATTCTGTCCATAAAGGTTATGAACAGAAGCGGTGGAAAAGGGCAGCCCTGGCGGAGTCCAACCCTCACCGGGAACAGGTCCGACTTACTACCGGCATGCGGACCAAACTCACGCTCCTCTGGTAAAGGGACTGAATGGCCCTTAACAAAAGGCCACCCACCCCATACTCCTGGAGTGTCCCCCACAGGGTGCCCCTGGGGACACGGTCATAAGCCTTCTCCAAATCCACAAAACACATGTGGATTGGTTGGGAAAACTCCCATGCCCCTCCATCACCCTTGCAAGGGTATAGAGCTGGTCCACAGTTCCACGGCCAGGACGAAAACCACATTGCTCCGCCTCAATCTGAGATTCAACTATCGATCGGACCCTCCTCACCAGTGCCTTGAAGTAGACCTTTCCAGGGAGGCTGAGGAGTGTGATCCCCCTATAGATGGAACACACCCTCCGGTCACACTTCTTGAAGATGGGGAGCACCCCGGTCTGCCATTCCACAGGAATTGCCCCCGATAACCACACAATGTTGCAGAGACGTGTCAACCACGACAGCACTACCACATTCATAGCCTTGAGATACCCAGGACAAATTTCATCCACCCCCGGGGCTCCGCCGCTGTGTAGTTGTTTGACTACCTCAGCAACTTCTGCCCCAGAGATTGGACAGTCCATCCCCAGGTCGTCCGGCTCTGGCTCCTCCTCGGAATGCGCATAGGTGGGATTCAGGAGCTCCTCAAAGTATTCCTTCCACCATCCGACTATAGCCCCAGTTGACGTCAGCAGCTCCCCATCCCCACTGTAAACAGTGTGAGTGAGTTGCTGCCTCCCTCTCCTGAGGCGCCGGACAGTTTGCCAGAACCTCTTTGGAGCCGATCGATAGTCTTTCTCCATGTCCTCACCAAACTCCTCCCACGCCTGAGATTTTGCCTCGGCAACTGCCACTGCTGCACCCCGCTTGGCTATCCGGTACCTGTCTGCTGCCTCCGGAGACCCACAGACCAGCAACAATCGCAGAGTGGAACAAGGCCCACTCGGAGTCGATGTCCTCCGACTGCTCTCGGGACGCGGTCAAAGTTCTGCCGGAGGTGGGAGTTGAAGACCGTCTTGACAGGTGCTTCTGCCAAGTGTTCCCAGCGTACCCTCACTATGCGTTTGGGTCTGCCAGGTCTACGCGGCATCTTCCCCTGCCATCTGTTCCAACTCACCACCAGGTGGTGATCAGTTGACAGCTCCGCTCCTCTCTTCACTCGGGTGTCCAAAACATACGGCTGCAGGTCAGATGATACGACTACAAAGTCTATCATCGACCTGTAACCTAGGCTGTCCTGGTACCAAGTGTACCGATGGGCATCCTTATGTTCGAACATGGTGTTCATTCTAGCCAAACTGTGGCTTGCACAGAAGTCCAATAATGAAACACCACTCGAGTTCAGATCAGATGGGCCGTTCCTCCCAATCACACCCCTCCAAGTCATGCTGTCATTGCCCATGTGAGCATTGAAGTCCCCCAGCAGGAAATGGTGTCCCCTGATGGAGCATTATCTAGCACTAGTCCCAGGGACTCCAAAAAGGGTGGGTAATCTGAACTGATATTTGGCGCATAAGCACAAACAACAGTCAGGACTCATTCCCCGACCTGAAGGTGCAGGGAAGCTACACTCTTGTCCCCCGGGGTAAACCCCAACACACAGGCAGAGTTTTGGGGCTAACAAAAAGCCAACCGCAGCCCTCCTCCTCTCACCCAGAGCAACTCCAGCAAAGGAGTGTCCAACCCCTCTCAAGGTCTTGGGCTCCAGAGCCAATGCTATGTGTCTAGGTGAGTCCGACTATATCTAGCCGGTACCGCTCAACCTCTGCCACAAGCTCCTGCTCCTTCCCCGCCAGCGAAGTAACGTTCCATGTCCCAAACACCAGTTTCCTTGTCCGGGGATCGTACCGCCAAGGCTCCCGCCTCAGTCTGCCACACTGCACACTGCACCGGACCCTTCATGTTCCTCCTGCGGGTGGTGGGTCCACAGTTGGATGAGCCCATGTATCCGGTTCGGGCTGGGCCCGGCCAGGCCCCATGGGCGAAAGCCCGGCCACCAGGCGCTCGCTCACGGGCCCCAACCCCATGCCTGGCTCAAGGGTGGGACCCCGAAAACCCTCCGAGCTGGGTACTCCGACTCTTTGTTTTACGTCCATGGAAGATCTTCTGAACCGTTCTTTGTCTCACCCTTCACCTAAGGCCCATTTGTCATGGGAAACCCTACCAGGGGCACAATGTGCCCCCGGACAACATAGCTCCTAGGATCATTAGGGCACTCAAACTCCTCCACCACGATAAGGGGACGGTTCAATTTCATTAAAAATTACTTCTGGACTAATCTATTAGAAAAGCATGATTTGATCCATGTATGATCACTAATTGTTGATTTACTGATTATTTTTTAAACACAGACATTTTTTAAAATATGATACCGTGATTATGCCTCTAGGTGGTGCCACAACCCTGTCTGTATTATTTACGATATAAGGAGCCTAAAGCCAGGTGTACACTGTATGCGTTTTTCACTTTTTTGAGCCAATTTCTATAAGATCGGGGCGAGTTTTGCGCTGAGCGTCATGTAGTATATAGGGGGTTACGAGAAGCGATTGACACCACTTGACCAGCTACCAATCAGCAATCGTAAGCTTGCACAAATTTCTGGTGTGTTTGATATTTTGCTCGTTGCTCATGAGGGTATTGCGCTGTTGAAGCGGCACTGCGAGCAATGGTGACCCAAAAAGTACCAGAACACGCGTCAACGCAGCTCGCCAGCTATTTCTCTACAACACACGTTGGACGTTTTTATATATAAACCTTTTTTAGCACAAGAATTGTCAAGAAAGTGTGTTAATGTCAAATTAAACTAATTAAACATTGATTTTCTTTCTTTCTTTCTTTCTTTCTTTCTTTCTTTCTTTCTTTCTTTCTTTCTTATGTCTTCGTCCTCCAACTCCCATGAATCCATGTGCGTCCTCCTACAGAACTCCTGAAGGATAACAGACATCAATAATAACACAGAAAAAGTCTGTCGTGTTGTGTAAAAACTGCTATATATATAACATATTTGTAGGTTCGTCGTGTTGCTACCAGACGTACAGTGTGAGCACGACTCGTGAGATTTTCTCTGCGAGGAGGTTGTAAAGTTTGAGCTGAACGCTACGAGTTAAAAAGTTCCACAGTGTCTGCGCAGCTTAAGTCTCCTGCCTTTCTGGTCGGCTCATGGGTCCCCAGAAGAACGAAAAAATGAATGCAAGCCAACGGGTCTAAAAGAGTTATTTTCTAATCCGCTGTGCCTTAAGCCCTGGATCACACAAATGTTGTACTGCAATTTAAATGAAAAGTAATGATGTGTGTTTCGACCATGCTAGTCACGTACTTTGAGATTTATCATCTTGTAAAAGTTCGTAATTAGCATGACTACTAATCAGAGGTTGGCACCAAAGAATCTCTTCTCCTCTAGCGTGGCTGCTACCTACCACATGGACAGATTTGCAGTGGTTCTTTCCTCCTGAAAGAAGGATTTGAAGTTTGCTGAACTTGTCATTTTCCCTCTGTTTTTCTACTTGTCTGATTCGATGACGTCACTTTGGTGATGCACATTTGTAGTCCTGGACATATTTTTGCACAAAACCTAAAATAATGTTTCCCCTGTTTGTAAATAAGCTCTTTCTTGGCATCAAAATTTGTCTTTAAAATCCACGGACATCATATGTGAAATCCATGGCGCATAACAAGCAGAATTAGAAAATAGCGTTGAAAGCCCCATTGTTGCATTCAGTTTTTTCGTTCTGGGACCCATGGGCCTGAAGTAGATGGGCGTGACTTAGGCTCCCTATTAAGAAACAAAAATCTTTTTTATCATTAAATCTGTAGCTCAAAATCGTTAAAGGTATTGTGGGAAGATTTTGAGCAGTTGTAGATGGCTCTTTGAATTTGGTGAGTTAGAAAATAGTTTATTTTAAATCCTAAAAGTTTGATTAAACCTCTAAGGATTATTCATACTGAAAGCTCTCACAATTACCCTTTGACCTCACCTTTTGCTTTAACAGCTGGTCCTTTTTTGTTGCCAGGTGAATTCCTGTTAGGATCCCTATTAGAAATGGTCCATATCTTGTGTATGGTTTCACATAGTAATGCAGAACATAGTTTTCTGATGTCCTATAAAAACAACAAAGTGCCTGGTAGACATGGTGGCTTCACTCAGCATCGTTGCTTTAAAGTCATTTGAGAACCATCACTGAATCCTACATTGTAGATGGTTGAAAGACCGGTAGGTGCAGGTGTGCTGTTATAACGGAGCTGGTCAAGGTCGACATCAGCAGGAGGCCTCCAACTACAACTGCAAACACACGTCGTTTGCTGAAAAAGACAACAACATAATGAACAAGAAGGAATTATGGCATTAATGTGGCATTTAATAGGAGGTGGACATACAATCTGTACAAAAAGATCAGCAGAGGAGTTGTGATGTAACACTGGAAGTCTAAAGACAAGTACCACGTCCAAGGGCTGCACTGAGGAGAGGTGTGAAGTGAAATGTTAGAAAACAGGCAGGGGATCTCTGCTCAAAAGTTGCACGATAATTACTGTTTAAACTCACAACATTATGGAATGGGAGAAGGTTGCTAATCAGAAGAAGGTTGGCCCACCAGTATGCCTTACAGTCCATCATTGTATCCATAAATGGGAACCAGTAGGGTCCCCACTGGACCAAAGAGATGAGGCTGATGGTTAGACACATCGTGAACATGTGCAGAGGCTGAATCCTGGTGCAGAAAGACATGGGATGAGAATTTTCACTCTGATTTAAGGTAACTGATGCAGACACATGTCATGGGTTATTTTAAATCAAATAAAGAAATTACGATGCCTTTTAATCCTCTTAAAGAGATAGTTTGCAACAAGGCTGAGGGTCAGTTTGTCTCCAGCCTTGTCGATGGACCGCAGCAGGGACCTGGCACTGAGTAGTCCCCTGAAGGAACCAAATAAACCCTGACATGTATTAATTAAACTTTTAACTCACACCATTATCAGTCTACGATTGTTTAAGTCTCACCCTAACAACAAGAAGGTGTCCACAGCCAGAAAAACGGGCCCACTGATAGTGAAAATGTACACGGGGTTGTTTTCAACTGTCCCCCTCCAGTTTTTATAGTTATCTGCAACAGAGATGCATTAACAAAGGTGAAATACGAGTAAACAAACAGCCTCCTGGCCACCTTCATCCTCTCGTACCCAGGTTGTTGATAACTGGAAACTGTGTACTGTGTCCACAAATGATCCACAGCAAGCTAAGCACACGTATGCCGTTTAGTGAGGAGAAGCTTCCAACTAGGATGGAGGATGAGGAGGTGCTGAAGATGCCCCTGCAGTTAGTTTGTAGAGAAAAGGCCTGAAGGCATTCAAACGCACAGCTCTGAGAGATCTGTTCAGGGCTGGGTCCGTCTGAAAAATAAAGTCCTCAGTAGGTCTCAGTCTGGATGTGAAATGTAAAAGCACTTATCGTACCAACCGTTTTCCCCTGCGCTGCCATTCATTTCTCTGCTAGATGAGTCGCTGGTCTTCAGGGCACCATAAACGTTAGGGCCACTGTTTAAATGTGAAAACTCCACATTAGGACTGTCAGGTCCGCTCCTTTCTGACCTCACCATGGCTGTGAACAAGGTGGCTGCAAGAGGGACCGCTATCATTGCACAACACACAAATCTGACGAGGAAGAAAAGGAAAGTTAAAGTTAGAAATAGTTGTTTGAGTTGTTCTGGGAATGAAGAATCAATCACTAGGTTTAGTAAAGAAAAAAAAACAGCTGAAGAATTTCAATTATTTGTTTTGGTTTTTGAGAATTTAATTTCAAGTTAGGTTTTTGTTAATGTCTCCCTTCTTTCATTGATATTTTCATCAGTAGTTTGTCTGCTCATGTTATTCACTTTATATGAAAGCTGCAAAATAAATTGTACTGCACAAATGATGTAAGTTCAATGCCTGCATTGTAAAATCTAACACATTGTTTCAACTGAAAAATAAAGATTCAAATGGTTGCCTTAAATTAGGTTAAAAAAAAAGTAATTTTTTCCCCCACAAAATATACAGTATGTGTTTATTCTTTATAATAATAAATATCTTTATGTGTTTGTCAGGTTGGTTTAGTATTTCAACTTCAGCTTAAACGGTAGCTTGCAAACAATCAACATTCATGTCTGTACTGCGTCCATCAAGCTAGAGAACCGTCTCAGTGGCCTAGTGGTATGAGTGTCCACCCTGGGACTGAGACACGGGGTCGATTCCCGGTCGGGTCGTACCATAGACCATAAAAATGGGTCACAATGCCTCCCTGCTTGATACGCAGCTTTAAGGGGTTGGATTAGGGAGTTGAGATGAAAGACCACCTCTGCAGGATGTGCAAACTCCGTCTTTGCTCAGTGGGAGCTTTTATAAATCACTTTAGGCTTAATCAAATGCCCGGTCATTTAAATAAAACATATTAACTGAACTTAAACAACATAACAAAATACATCAGTGTTAATTTTACCACAACAAATTGTTGCCCGTTGAAATTACTTAAGCAATTTAACTCATTTTCCAGTCTCTCCCTGTCAGAATTCACACTTTAAAACCTTTTACCTATAACTGATCATTTAAATAATCTATTTAACCAAATATTTGAATCCACCCTTTGAATTGACCAACCTCCAAACTTAGGTTGACATAAACTCTACCAACCAATTCTACATTTTCTTCATGATAACGTTTTTTTTCTATTATTAGCATTTCTAAATTGGTTTATAATTATATAAGACATTTTTAAGTGATCATTGTTTTTTATCTCCACTGTATGAGCACACAATGCTTAAACAAGCTTTTTACTGACATGGAGACAACATCCGAAGCATCCAGTTCAGTTGTGTTGGCTAAACAGTGAGTCATGATCATGTCCTGCCTGGACTCATTGGTTAGAATGGGAGGTAGAGGAGGGATGAGCGACATCTGATTGAACTGAAGTCTGTCTGTGGAAAAATAAAAGTAAGTCACATGACAGAAAGACAATAATAACCTACAGAGAACATTAGTGAAAATTTTAAATCTAACATCACTGACCATACAGCACCAGCTCTTTTACGTCCTCTTCCCCACAGGAGTCAGGGACACAAATACCCACGAAGTATTGCAAAGCTCCCTGCAGAGATCATTTAAACGATGCTTAAACACTTTTATTTTGTAACTTAGCAGGGATCTGATTTTGCTGTGTTGACCTGTTTCAGGAACACTTGGCAGTACTGTCCAGAGAAGCTGGGCCCAATAGCCGAGCGACACTGCTGCAGCAAACCAGGCTGGTTAACGTTACCACCTTCAACGTTACTGCCCATCTTTCCAAAGGAATCATACACTGTTCAGAACACAGAAACAGGTGCAGAGAAATGACACGACCTTCAGGTCTCACCGGTAGGATCAAGTTCATGTACAACAACCTGCAAGGTTTGCTTTGAGTCCATACCAAATTCTGCATCTAATCTTTCATGTTGATTTTTTATGCAAATAACGGTGTTTGTGTTTTTCTTAGGAACATTTTCTTTACCTGAAATACTTGTTTTTAAATGCACATACAATCATTTCAAAATCATTCTACACTGCAAAACCAGATTTCTAAGAAAGTCAAAAAGCCTTTTTTTTTAAACATTTGATCTTTTCCTTAGTCTAAGAAAAAAAAGCAATTCTCTCTAGAAAATGTGCTTTACCTAAAATAAGGTAAATGTTCTTAAATAAAAAAGTCTGCCTATGGTAAGCAAACATTGCTTGGCTTGAAATCCTAAAGCCAACTAATAAATCTAAAATTAGATTATTTCGCTAAGTTTTTACTTTAAACAAGAATATTTGGATCATATCTAAGAAGATTTACCAAATTTTTAAAAAAATGTTATTTTTCTAGAAGAGTTTTTATTTTCTTATAGACTAAAAATAAGATAAAATGACTTAAAATTATGCTTTTTTTTAACTTTCCTATAAATCAGTTTTTGCAGCTCACCTGAATCATCTCTAACTCCCTAAATAAAACATTTCTGATATTAGGTTATCTCACAGCTCTGAATAATAAATGCATATAATTAGACTTTTTACAGCTTTCTACTAATGAGTTGATGCACCTAATCTTCTCTAGTTCTGTCCAGGTACCAAAGAAAAGTGATATAAAAGTCAGTAAAACTCACTTAGAACAGCATACTCCTTTGGTTTGTCGTGGTTAGTTTCCCAGAGAAACGTGTTGATGTCCTCTATGCACTTCTGCGACACATTGCAGCTCTGAGAGCTTTCTGATGCTGAGCTGCCACTGACCAAAAGCAGAACCACGACCCAACAAGGAGCCATTTCAGCACTGACTACACCGCTTTACTGGAGAAGAGGCTTAAATATAAAAAAAAAAAAAAACACTCATCACCAGGCAGGGGGAGCGTGAAATTCATTTTCCCCAGGTGGAGTTCAACACCAGCGTTGGAAACAGTTTTTATTTCACCTCGGGCGAAAACAAGATTCAGTTACTCAAAAGAACAAAAGGACCTGAGCAGAATACGTCACCCTGCAGGAGGAACTTGATTAAAGCTCAGGCTCATTAAGAACGCCTGACCTGAAAACAAGAATATGCCCTTTTTATCACAGAGGTTAATGTTTCTGAGGACGTAATCATGCATTTTATAATTTACAATAAAAAACCTCCAGAAGACACAGAGTGGGTGGTACTGTTAAAAACTACTCTTGAGAATATTACATAAATATTTGTTTTTACAAGAACATAAAAAAATCACCATTAACTAGCCTTTTAATAATTTAACTAGGTGTTGCTTTTAAGTTGAAGTTAATAAATGTAAAGAACATCAGAAATATAGGAATTGCAGCTTAACATGGCCACTAGAGGGGAGCGTTGTCCAAGAAATTTTTATATATTTTTTTGATCTGGCAGAAAAATAAAAAATAAATCCACCTGAAAACAGCAAAAGTCAGCTGTGTCTAATCCTTTGTGATGAATCGAGGACTTTTACACTCACTGTTCATCAGTTTCAGTACAAATTACCTCATGCATTAATGCACATGCTTTTAATGTCGTCGTCGTCTTCCTCCGCTTATCCGGGTCCGGGTCGCGGGGGCAGCATCCCAACTAGGGAGCTCCAGACCATCCTCTCCCCAGCCACCTCCACCAGCTCCTCCGGCAGAACCCCAAGGCGTTCCTGGACCAGATTGGAGATGTAACCTCTCCATCGTGTCCTGGGTCGACCCGGGGGCCTCCTGCCGGCAGGACATGCCCGAAACACCTCCCCAGGGAGGCGTCCCGGAGGCATCCTGACCAGATGCCCAAACCACCTCAACTGACTCCTTTCGATCTGGAGGAGCAGCGGTTCTACTCCGAGCCCCTCCCGAATGACCGAGCTTCTCACCCTATCTCTAAGAGAGAGCCCAGCCACTCTTCAGAGAAAACTAATTTCGGCCGCTTGTATTTGCAATCTCGTTCTTTCGGTCACTACCCAAAGCTCGTGACCATAGGTGAGGGTAGGAACGTAGATCGACCGGTAAATCGAGAGCTTCACCTTCTGACTCAGCTCTCTCTTCACCACGACAGACCGGTACAATGCCTGCATCACTGCAGACACAGCACCAATCCGCCTATTGATCTCACGCTCCAGTTTTTCCTCACTCGTGAACAAGACCCCAAGATACTTAAACTCCTCCACTTGGGGCAGGACCTCATCCCTGACCCGGAGAAGGCATTCTACCCTTTTCTGAATCAAGACTATTGTCTCAGATTTAGAGAAGCTGATTCTCATCCCAGCTGCTTCACACTCGGCTGCGAACCGCTCCAGCGAAAGCTGAAGATCACGTTCTGATGAAGCCAACAGGACCACTTCATCTGCAAAAAGTAGAGACCTGATCCTCAGGCCACCAAAATGGATGCCCTCCACACCTTGGCTGTGCCTAGAAATCCTGTCCATAAATGTTATGAACACAATCGGTGACAAAGGGCAGCCTTGGCGGAGTCCAACTCTCACTGGGAACGAGCCCGACTTACTGCCGGCAATGCGGACCAAGCTCTGACACCGGTCATACAGGGACCAAACAACCCGTATCAGAGGGCCTGGTACCCATACTCCCGGAGTACCCCCACAGGGTCTCCGAGGGACTCGTCAAACACCTTCTCCAAATCCACAAAACACATGCAGACTGGTTGGGCAAATTCCCATGCACCCTCCAAGATCCCCCTAAGGGTATAGAGCTGGTCCAGTGTTCCACGGCCAGGACAAAAACCACATTGCTACTCCTGAATTTGAGGTTCAACAATCTGATGGAACTTCCTGAATAGACCTTACCCCCAAATTCCACTACCTCCGCTCCGCTGTGCTCCGCTCCGACACGAACGCCGGAGCAAAATCGGTCCCGTTCTAGTCAATCAGAGCAATTCCACTACTGCGGCCGTGCTCCGGCAGTGCGGCGCCGTGCGCCGCCCTCTGTTCCGGCGTCCGGCAAATATCGATCCTATTTTTGCCGGACGCCGGAGCACCTCCGCAGTAAATGGACAGAAATCACAACGGCCCAACAGGAAAAGGAGCAAGCACAATTTCCGTTTTTCACAATAAATCGATAAACAAAAGGCGTTTTTTGTTTCATATGCACAGGTTTAACAACTTTTAACAACTATCAATGGCGGCTGAAGTTTAAATGCACAAAAGTAAGCCATAAATACAGTTTCTACTATCAAAGTAGTCACACTTTGTTGATCCAAACACTGCTGATCTCTCAATACAAATGATGGGCAGATTAAACAGCTCATGCCGATGCTTTTCCCACACAACGGGTGTTTGGATCTAACTTCCACGTTTATTGCTCGGACTGTATCGCAAGATCTCGAAAATCCCGCGCATGCTTGTTTGCCCCCCTCAGGTCTCCGCACCGGAGCGGACCCGTTGTAGAGCGGGTACCAGTAAAAATTGAGTTCGGAAGCGAGCGGCTGCGGAAGGCGGGGGCGGACCGGAGCGGAGCGGCGCGGAGGTAGTGGAATTTGGGGGTTACCAGGAAGGCTAAGGGGTGTGATCCCCCTGTAGTTGGAACACACCCTGCGGTCCCCCTTTTTTAAATAAGGGGACCACCACCCCGGTCTGCCAGTCCAGTCGGACTGCCCCTGATGTCCACGCGATATTGCAGAGCCGCGTCAGCCAACATAGCCCCACAAGCCTTAAGGAACTCCGGGCGGATCTCATCCACCCCTGGAGCCTTGCCACAGAGGAGCTTTTTAACCACCTCAGTGACCTCAGCACCAGAGATTTAAGAGGCCAACCCAAACTCCCCAGACTCTGCCTCCTCACTGGGAGACGTGTCGGTGGGATTGAGATCTTCGAAGTATTCTTCCCACCGATCCACAACGTCCTGAGTAGAGGTCAGCAGCACATCGTCTCCACTATAGATAGTGTTGGTAGCGCACTGCTTTCCCCCCCTGAGGCGCCGGATGGTGGACCAGAATCTTCTCGAAGCCGTACGAAAGTCTTGCTCCATGGTCTAACCAAACTCCTCCCATGGCCCCAGAGCTGTGGTTGCAGACCTCTGGTCTAAAGCGATTTACAGTATGAACATCAGATATTTAGCTACCAAATGTAGGTATTTATGAGGGAATGTGTGAATTAAAACCACTTTCATCAAATACTTTAAAACTCGTCTTATAACATTCCAAGAACTTGACTCCATCATTGGAAGCATCATCAGAACAGGACTCAGTGACAACAAGAAGGTCTCTGATGTTTCTACAGAAAAGAGCTGATGTCTAATGTGCAGTTGACATCAGGTTTAATCATTTATTGACACAAAGAATAGATTTGTACATAAGCATTAGAAAGGCTAAAAACAGCAGTAGCAGCAGCAAGACACGTTCTAATCAACTCACAAGTTCACAGACTGTCTCTCACATGCAGTTCAACAAGAGCTCGACGTTTAGGTCCTTTTGACATGGTGGAAATTTGATTTTATAGACAGATGATTGAAAAAAGAATAAGATGTTTGGTTTACAGCTGAGAACATTTTTAGTTTTTGTGAATTTTTTGATTGACCACCAAACAAAAAACTACTCTAACCCCAACACTTTCTCTTTAGACTTTTCCCTTCAGGCATCGCCACAGGCCACTCATCCATCACAATTTAGTCCTGTCTTCTGCATTTTCCACCCTTACGCCAACTAACTTCATATCCTCTGTCACCGCATCCATGAATCTTCTTTTTGGTCTTTCTCCCACCCTCCTGCTTGGTGGCTCCAATCTCAGCATCCTTCAACATCCTTCTTCGTGGGGGCTTGTCCGGAATAATTGTCTGAGGACCTCTCACAGCATTTATAATACTGATAGCAGGAAATTGTATGTGTATCTGTTTTACTCATTCTCTTAGGTGCTTGAGCTTGGTGAGCAGTCTTTGTGTATGTGCCACATTAGTTATAGCTGCTTGGTTAGAGGGTACTTCTTCAGCATCTGTTGAGCCGCAGCTAGGATGAAGCGTCCCACTCTATGAAGACCTCTGCATGCCCCTCTACATCTTACCCTCATCTTATTTTAAATGTGCTTTTCAGTCCATCATCCCAGCGTGCTCTCCAAAATTAATGCTTCTCTGATTTCTGGTCAGGTCCCTGCTTACTTTAAGAACGACGTCATCCACCCGCTTCTTAAAAAACAGAGTCTTGACGCCTCTCTCCATAGCAGCTTCAGACCCATCTCTAAATTTCCATTCATCTCCAAGATCTTGGAAAATGTTGTGGCTAAACAACTCACAGCTGCTCTTGATGAACATTACATCTATGATCGCTTCCAGTCAGGTTGTCGTAGAGCTCATTCTACTGAAACAGCTCTTCTTAAGGTCTCTAATGACCTTCTGACTCACAGTGATGCGTGGGACTGTTCTCTTCTGGTCCTGCTGGACCTGACTGCAGCTTTTGACACTGTTGACCATCACCTGCTACTGAGAGGCTGAGAGACTGGGTAGGCCTATCAGGAACTGCTCTGGAGTGGTTCTCCTCTTATCTGTCTGAGCGCTCCTTTTCTGTGGCCGTCTCCAAGTTTAGGTCCTCCACCACCTCCCTTACCCATGGTGTCCTACAAGGTTCCGTGCTGGGGCCTCTGCTTTTCCTTCTCTATCTGCTTCCTCTTCAACACATCCTGAGCTCCTTCAAAGGAATCTCCTACCATCTTTATGCAGATGACATCCAACTGTACATCTCCTTTAAGCCCCATGAGATGTCTAAGCTGCAGCTGTTACACATCTGCTTAGACTCTATCAAAACCTGGATGGCTGGGAGCTTTCTACAGCTGAATGAAGATAAGACTGAGATCCTCATCTGTGCCCTAGACAAGCTGGTTCCCAAAGTCAGAGACTCTCTTGGTCAGCTTGCTTCTCACACCAAACCTTCAGTCAGGAATCTTAGCGTGACCTTTGACCCAGCTCTCACCCTGGATTCTCATTTCAGTTCTCTTGTTCGCTCTTCCTTCTTCCATCTCAGGAATCTTGCTAAGCTGAGTCCCATTCTGTCCCGCTGTCCCGCTCTGAACTTGAGACAGTTGTCCACACCTTCATCTCCTCACGCTTAGACTACTGTAACTCTCTTTTCACGTGTCTGAGCAAAACCTCCTTGAACCATCTACAGGTGGTTCAGAATGCTTGTGTTTGGCTTCTGACCAAGTCCTCCAAACACACCCACATCACCCCGCTTCTCCTCCAGCTTCATTGGCTGCCAGTCAATTTCAGGATTCAATTCAAGATCCTGGTTCTGGTCTATAGGGACAAGCACCATCTTATCTTGGTGATCTTCTTAGTCCCTACACCTCCAGCAGGTCCCTGAGGTCCAGTGATCAAAGCCTACTGGTTGTGCAGCACCAGGCTAAAGACCAAAGGTGACAGATCATTTGCTGCTGTGGCCCCCAGACTCTGGAACTCTCTCCCCCTGAGCCTGAGATCAGTGGACTCAGTGGTCTCCTTTAAAAAGCAACTGAAGACTCACTTGTTCAAGCTGGCTTTTTTATGACCATCTTCACCACTCTCTCTTTATTCTGCTCTCCCCACCTATTCCACCTTCCTCAGGATCCACTGATTTCCCTCTTTCCTATTCACTCTCTCCCTTTCTTAACTTTTTAAAAATCACAATAGTCTATTTTTTGCTCATTTAAAATATATTTTTAAACATTTTCTAAATTCTTTTTTATATTTTTACATTTTTTGTTTTGGTGAAGCGCCTCGTGATTTTTATCTTGAGAGGCGCTATAGAAATTATATTTTCTTCTTCTTCGTCTATTTCTACCAGTTCGCTCTTGAGACATTTCTGGATGCATCTAAAAATGCCTCTAAACTAAACATCCTCTAACCAAGCAGCTATTACTAATGTGACACAAACCAAATACTGCTCACCACCCCAACACCTATGAGAAGTAAATCAGTAAACATATACAGTTATACAGTTTCTAGCTATCTATATAATAACTGCTATGAGAGGCCCTTAGACAATTACCCCGGACAAGCCCCCATTATGTTAAGTTACTGTAATCATGTCTCTCCACTGGACATGTCTAAACCATCTGAATTTGTCCTTTCTGACTTTATCTCCAGGACATTTAACATGAGTTGCCCCTCTGCTTGACTTATTCCTGATCCTATCCATCCTTGTCACTCCCAAATAAAACCTCAACATCTTGAGCTCTGCAGCCTCCAGTTCTGTCTTTTCCTCATGGACACTGTCTATAAACCACACATCATGGCTGGTTTTGCTACTGTCTTCTACACCATTGTTTGAAAGAATAAAAAAAAAACATAAAAGATAATATACAAAAGAGTAAAAACATTAAATAACCATGTTAAAGTGTTCTAAAGTGTACCATAGTGGAAAAAATGCAGAATCCCATAAAGTAAGTCAAGTGCTTTGTATTTATCTCTTAGATATTGGGGTAAACATTCATATTTAAACATGAAGTAAAAGAGCTGCCATTAAGTGTTTTACGAAAGAAAATAAAGCATCAACTTTTTAAAAGGTCACAGTTAAAAAATATTCATTTGGCTCACAGTTAAAAAAAACATTGTTTTACAACTATCAGGTTTAAAACTTATTTTTGCTGATCGAATTTGAAATAGCTTTTGTTTTTAATGTACTATTTAATTTAATATATTGCCCCAATTAAATTATTAATATTATTTGTTTGACAAGTAATAAAATAATAATTAAAATCATTAAGTAAAACATGAACACACCTGTGGTTTTCTGGCGGACATTCATTGGACGTTAAGCAGCACTTTGAAGTAGAAACACACCGCTGACTTTTTTTTTTTTGATGATAATAAATCTGTTCGAATGATGGTGTCATACATTGTCTCGCTCTGGTAAGAAAACAAGCATTTAAAACGAACAACTAAAAAAAAAATACTCAAGGCCCATAACAGCATCTCTATCTGTACAAACACCACAAAATACAGTCTAGTGAAACACAAGAGTATGCTGGATTTTCTCGGGTATATTTTACTGTGTACATACTGTTGTACTGCAACATGATGTCTTTACAGCATAACCATGACTATAGGAGGTACTGTAGGTTTAATCAACTCATGGAATAGTTATAAAAGGTCTTCAGGTTTAATCAACTCATGGAATAGTTATAAAAGATCTTCCTCTCACTTCTCTGCCATGCTCTGTCTCTTTGACTTAATGAAGGCCATCCCGTGTGTCCTCATATGTGTGTTCAGGTTTCCCTCTGTTTCAAACATCTTACCGCACACTTTACATTTTGTGCTGGGTGTCCCGTCATCATTCTCATCTTTAATATCTAACTGGTTTTCCCTCTGGCTCTCCTCATCTTCCCTGCCCCGTCCCTTGTACTGGCCCAGACCCTGGGGCTCCTTCAGCCGATGGACGATGAAGAGGTGTCGGGCCAGCGAGCGGTGGGAGGTGTAGCACAGGCCGCACTCCTGACACTGGAAGGACGAGCCGTCGGACTTGTGCTGGGGAATATGCTTGTGGAAAGCAGCAATGTCCTCAGTGGTAAAGCCACACACTGCACATTTGTGCACCTTGAGGATGTTTACTTTGAGTTTTTTCAACGGCTGAGAGTCTGAGACTCTGGAGTTCAAGGCTGGAGGCCCCCTTTCTTCAGCTGGCTGCTTCCTTTTGGGGCTTCGCTTCTGATGATAGAAGAAAATATGAAGTTAGATTACAGTTTAGCCACAATGCACAAAACAACATGTCCAGTTGACCTTTTCAGAAGAATCAGCAACAAAACAGAGGATATTACAGGTGAAAGTCCAAAAACTAGAATATAGTAATTTCAGTAATCCAATTCAGACTGAGAGACCATTTAAAGGCTCAGGACCTCTTTGTGTAAGACTTTGAGTCTAGAATATTGAACCTTTTCACAATACTTTGACAATCTTGGATTTTGAATTTGAAGTTTTCATAAGCTGTAAGTCATAATCATCACATCACATCACATAATCATATCTGGTTTTAGATATAATAAGGCTGTCTATGTTAGTTTCACCTTTTAAGTTGATTTACTGAAATAAATAAATTTTTGCACGATACTCTAATTATTTGAGTTTTACCTGTAAGTGCACACAAAACACAATAACCCTATAATGTCAAATGTATCTGATATACCCATTTATAGGAAAGCTACATCCATAAATGAAAGTCTGTGGAGTGATAAAAGTGACTTTCTTTTGGGAACTTAGAGGAAGTACCCCTGTTGCCAAGACTACAAGAGCCATAAAGTCGGGGGTACACTGTACGACTTTTTCCACTTTTTTCAGCTGATGTCCCCCTCATGCTAGAATCTACAACATCGGGGCAAGTTTTGCCCTGAGCGTTGTGCAGTATATAGGGACCGAGACCGATAGGCTAGGGACCGTGGCATCCGTGAGCTAGTGATTTGCACTGACTCGAACTACACGCGTCTCAGTTTCATATGTCATCTACCGTCTTGGAAGAGTAACGGGTTCCAGACCGCTAACCGGAAGCCCGTCAAACATCAGGAACTCTTCATGGCATGTGACGCCCTGGTGACTGCGCTTGCCATGCACGTTTACTGGCGTAAAGTCAAAGGACACTCTCGCGCACCCGGTCCAGATAAGGAGTTGAACGACCTCGCAGACTCTTTGGCCAAACGGGGTGCAGCCGATGGTACTCCATGGGTTTTCAACCCCATGTGGCTCCAGGGGGGTGGGTGTGTGGCCTCGGTCTGGTCCACCCCACGTGTGGGTCGTGACTCGAGCTCAGGCCGCGAACGCGTCCACCTCTGAACCATCCAAATGTGCGGTGTCCATTCGGCCTGCCTTTTCGGGTAACGATCTTGTCAGTCTTCAATCCCAGGGCCCTGCTATCAGCAGGATGATCAGGTACATTTCTGATCCTAAAAACCAGCTACCGACTTCCATCGAGCTCGACTCCGTTCCTGAGCTTCGGTCTCTCTTTCGCGTTTGAACCACGCTGAAGATGGTCGAAGGGTTGCTGATGCACACCGCCAAGCCTCCTTTGCCGCCTGTCCTCGTCACGCCAAAGCCACTGAGGGGGGACATGATCACGCAGGCTCATGACTCTCCCTCCGCCGGACACAAAGGTGTCAAGGCCACGTTCGGTGCCCTGAGCCAGGTTGCTTATTGGCCAGGGATAAGTTGCGACATCTCAGACCACGTCCAGCGTTGCTTGGTTTGTTGTCAGTTTCAGCCATCCAACCCTACGCACAGAGCTCCCCTACAGGAAAGGAGGCCGACCACTCCATGGTCGGACTTGCAATTCGATTGGGTGGGGCCTCTGACCAAATCCAGCAGGGGAAATAAATACATGTTGACTGTCTCCTGTGCATTCACCAAATGGGTTGAATGTCTGCCGGCACCTGATGACACGGCGAAGACGACAGCAATTACCCCACTTGACCAGGTACCAATCAGGAATCGTAAGCTAGCACTAATTTCTGGCGTGTTTGATATTTTGCTCATCCTTCGTGAGGTTATCACACTGTTGAAGCGGCACTGCGAGTAGCAGTGTGAGTGTCCTGTCACAGTGTCCCGACTGATCATGTGCCCTGGCTACTTGGCCATGGGGATGTCCCTTTGGCTGACTGGTAAGCACGCATGACTCACCCGGGAGTCTGGGGATCGAACCCCGCCCGGGCCCTCGTTTCTCCACCTTGCCATAGTTGGCGTTGTCGGCAGGATCCATGTAGCACTGTCAAGTAGGTCCATGGATGTAAAGTTTGTGGCACCCTGCGCGGGAGCACGAGGACGTGCTTGTGGAAAGAGGGGGGAAGATGTGGCAGTGTGAGCGTCCTGTCACAGTGTCCTTATTGATCATGTGCCTGGTTACTTGGCCATGGGGATGTGCCTTTGGCTGACTGGTTAGCGCGCATGACTCTCACCTGGAAGTCTGGGGATCGAATCCCGCCCAGGCCCTCGTTTCTCCACCTTGCCACATTTATAAGCAAACAGCAGGATCTTAAATGTCACTCTGAATGCTACTGGTAGCCAGTGAAGGTGCGCTACGTCGGTCAGTTCCTGTCAAAAATTGTGCTGCAGCATTTTTGCACAATCTGCAGACTAATTAGGGCTGAAGTTGAATTCCTGACCAATTGTGCATTTGCATAGTCCAGTCGTGAGGTGATGAATGCATGTACCACAGTTTCTGAATGCTTACACAAATGCTGATTTTTTTCCCCAGAAGTTTATGATTTGTGAAATGTTTTGTTTGCAGTCCTGTGTTGAATTGTGTTGTTTTGTTAGGCGGTGAGTTTTGGTACCTTTTGTTTAGCCGCTGCAGCATCCGCGTTGTCGCTCTTTCTTCCTCTAACTCTGTGCATCAGCTGGATGTGTTGATCCAGCTGTGCTCTTTTAGTGAAGGGTGGGCTCAGAGCTGGACATTTCCTGTTCAGTGAATATAGCAAAAATTTCTTCAATTTTTTAAATACAATTAATATTCACAAATTTTCTTTCTTTAGTAATAAAGATATTTTTTATTTTCCAGTGTGAAAGCTTGTCATTTAGGGTTGGACCTGGACTTACAGGAAACTTTAAATGACAATGAAAATGAACCATGAATGACCTTTTTGAGCCAAAAGCTGAACCATATGATTAAGCAACAAATGGCTTATTTTCACATGTTGGAGTCTGCTCTTTGGGTCCAAATCATGACAGCATGCATGATGATTTCTTTAAAATCAGTTTTAATTGGGTTACATTTCATCGAACCAGATGACAATCCTAATTTTAGAGCTTTATTCAGTTCACCTAAATGCTTTTGATTTTATGTTGAAGAAGCTAGATTTTCAATATGTGTTTTTGACCTGAAATTGGACCATCAGATGGCCTAAAGCAGTCTTGTTGACAGAGGGATCGACAGGTTTATGTTTATTTATTTGGCAGACGCTTTTATCCAAAGCAATGTACAATTGTTAACCTACAGGGAATGTTGAGATCTGTGTGGGAAACCGGAGTACCCGCAGGAAACCCACTCAGGCAAGGAGAACATGGAGCTCCACACAGAAAGGCCGCAGTCGACTTTCGAACCTGCAACCTTCTTGCTGCGAGGAAACAGTGTTAACAACTGCGCCACCGTGCAGCCCAAATTCAAGTGTCACGTTGTGGGTGTGGAGATGATGGACCAAGCGTGGTGGAGCAGCTCAGGAGGCAAAGATGCAGACTCAGATAAAGTAAAAATGAATTTAATTACAGAACAGGAATGGCAGGACCAAACAACGATGACTACAAACAACAACAATGATCTGACAAAGGACATAACGAGAGGGGAGGTATAAATACACTGGGGAAAATGAGGGACACACAGGCAGGCTAGCAATGGGCAGGTGAAGCCAATAGGGACTAATCAGGCAGGAGAGGGACACAGTCAGGAAGGCAGGGGCAGATCGTGACAAACAGATCCAGAAAAATGAAACTGATAAAAATAATAGATAACTGGAAATGAGGTTATGTAACATGGAAAGGTTGAGGTAACAACAAAATAATTTTGTCCCAGTTTTGTCAACATCGGTCCCTACCTCAGGACTTAGAGGACAGAAAATTAGATAACAGCTGGGATGGGAGGCAGAATTAAAGGTGCAACTTGTAACATCCTGTGGAATATGGGATTAGCGGTCAATTTTGTCAGCAAAAAGATTACTTTCTCACTCTTGTTCCGTGAGTTTCATGGCTGTTGCCAGTTATGGATCAACACCAGAAGATTTTAGATGACAAGCGAAGATGAGTCATATGGAGTAAGTTGATAAGAGGACAAATACGTTGTCACATCTGGTGTTAGCACTCTTGGGTGTTTCACGGTAGGGAGCACTTTCTACACTTATTACGGTAGTTTGTCCCCGGCATTACAGGAAGTGTTGTTTGCCGTCTTGCTGCTGTAGTTCTGAACGACTCGTTAACGGAAGTTAAACAGAACAATGGACTCATTATTCACTTCCCATCTATGGTTCCCCATAATGTTGGATTGTTGATGGTTGAAAAAGTACCGTAGAGTCAACTATTTGCTTCTAATTTACCGTTAGCATTGCTAGCTCAACAATGGCCTTCTTCATCTGATGTTAGAGTAAAACAAAAATATGCAGTGGCTTCTTAGGGTTCAAAAATAACTTCTCGGTCACTCTTGTTTACTGGCTTTGGTTCATTAACTCCTTCACTGCCAGCCGTTTCCTGATCAGAAAAGCCCTTCGCTGCCGGCTTTTTTCAGCGTTTTCGCTGTTTTTGTAAGAGTCACAGAACGTTGCGCTATGTGATGATGTCAACTGCAAAACTAACAAAACAAAGAGTAGACTCACCTCTTACATCAGGAAGAATCCGCGCGCTTCGAACGTTATCCGTTCTTTCATAATACATTGTCAAACTGTGATCGGCAGAAGCTTTTCCAGTTCGTGCCCCACCTTTTTTTACAGCAGCGACCCAAAACGATCTCCTTACACATGGATTTTCTGCTTCCTGATCACGTGACATACGGGGATGAAGATCGGCTTTAGAGCTGGGATGTTGGTTCTCACGGTGTGGGGGCTCGTTTCGATGCCCACACAGTAAAAACATGCAAATGACGACTTTTTTTTTTTTTTTTGGTCATCATTGGCAGTTATTGAGTTAAACAAATCTAGAGCTTTTTGTCTGCTGGTGTCGAATTACAACTGCAGACAGACACTGCTGCGTTAGCTCGGTGCAGACTCTGGAACCTCAAAATCTCAGATTGTAAACAGTAACTACGTCTACTTTTGTTTTCTTCACAAGGAGAAAATCTGTCAACCCCCAACCAGCTGAGAATGAAATCTGTGTCAGTATAACCTTCCTTCCAATGATTGAGACTTTAGACTGTGTTGTGATTATTTCACAGCAGCATCTAACAAATTGCACCTTTAAGTATGTGTTTGTAGGTTTTGTCTTTATGTCACTTTTAATATTGATTTATTAGATTTTAATTTAAAGTTAAATGTTATGAGGAATTGTTGTTTAATATATGGTAATTGGTAAATGGCCTGTGTTTGATATAGCGCCTTCTAGAGTCCTGGAACCCCCCAAGGTGCTTTACAACACAATCAGTCATTCACACACACATTCACACGCTGGTGGGGATGAGCTACACTGTAGCCACAGCTGCCCTGGGGCACACTTACAGAGGCGAGGCTGCCGAGCACAGCTGCCACCAGTCCCTCCGACCACCACCAGCAGGCAAGGTGGGTTAAGTGTCTTGTCCAAGGGCACGACAGCGACAGACTGTGATTACGAGGCCACCGTCACCCCATAGATACATATATACTAGAAATATAGTCCAAATTCACTTTTAAATCTTATTTAGTCCAGACATTATTTTTAAAACACTTTTTGTACTGTTTGTTTTTCATTTTATGAAAGAATTTAAGGTCATGTCTGAAGGAAATGTGATTTTGTTTTCCAGGTGAATGATTTTGAGTGGAATAGCAAGATTTACTGTATACTGTTTATGTTAATTTTTTTATTTTTATTTTTGTTTTGAGACTAACAGAGACATGATTCATCTAAATACATGTACTCACGGGCAGCTGTAGACCTTTCTCAGTCCTTTGTGTTTCAGACGATTGTGGCGGCAAAGACTATGTGAGGAGCTGAAAGACTTTTCACACTGTCGACACGGATGTTTCTTCAATATCTGCAGTTTGAACAGCAGAGTGTTTTTAAGGAATAAACAGCAGGAAGAAATCAAAATGATTTGCTTTTAAATTCCAATATGCAATATATTTCTGTTTGCTGTGTTGAACCAATGAACTGGTTAGGTGCAAGGACAAAGCATGAATTTTCTATTTGACTCTACTTTGTTCTACCGACATTTCAAGAAACAACACTTTGACCTTCAAGTGCTTTTATACCCTTCAAGTGAAAAAAGTGATGAAATACTAACTTTGCCGTGTTCTCGCCTCACGTGCGTCACAAAGACCTCCCTGGAAGTGAAGGAGTCCTTACATTCTCCACATGTGTATCCTGAGCTGAGAGGGCTCTTGAGGTCGGCTGAACAGTTGCTGTTAGTCGTCTTCAGCGGTGAAGGAGAGGGCTTCCTCTCTCCCTTGTCTTGACTGTTGACATGCCCTCCATCTTTGTTGTTGTTTAGAGGAATGTTGCTGTTGGTGCTGTTGGAGTTGGTAGCCTTTGTGCTGAGTGGGAGGTTGATTCCTAAGTTTGGTGGACCCTCGATTGTCTTCAGGGTCCCATGGACAGACTGAAAGTAGCCATATGAGCACAATTAATCCCTTTTGATGATGAACTGCGTCATTATATTAATACCAGTGATTATTTTTAGTCTTAATTTAGTTCTACAAAGGTTAAGTATGCAATTGTGATGAGTGAGAGGGAAGGGGTTTACGTACCTTGATGTGGTCCAGCATGAGCTGTTTCTGTGCGTAAAGGGTGGAGCAGTCAGGGCATTTAAACACAGAAACTTTATGATTGAGGACGTGTTGATCAAAGTGTGTGGAGAGCAGGGACTGCAGCGTGAACACTGTGTCACACATCGAACATTTGTATATCACCCTAAAAGAACAACACAAACAGACAAATTATTCAAAAGCAATGAATCTGCTGCATCAAGACAATAGAGCAGTTTGCTGCTTGTTGAGCTGATTCTGCAGAAGTTTAAAAAACAAACTGAAAACCTTTTTATTCAAGTCAAAATATTCCACATAGCTTAATGATAAATGACTCGCCTTTCAGAGTCAGACGACTCCAATGTGCTTTACACTGCAATTATTATTCATCCATTCTCACTCACACTCACATGCTGATGGTGAAGAGCTACAATGTAGCCACAGCTACACAGACATTTCCTAATGTTGGGATTTCTCGCACATATGGCAATAAAACCCTTCTGATTCTGATTCAGCTGCCCTGGGGCGCACTGACAGGGGAGAGGCTTCCAAGCAGCGCCACCATTCTCTCCAACCACCAATAGCAGGCAAAGACACAACAGCAGAATCCTCTGCCAGGAGCTGGGATTGAACCTACAACCTTCTAATTACTGGTCAACCCAATACTTCCTGAGTTACTGCTGTTGAAAAGTTATGCAGTTTTCAAACTTCTCCAATGTCAAAATTTCCTTTTCAATTCATGCAAATGTGATTTATATATTTTGATTTTAATGCTATTTATGACATTTTGTTGCTTTTACATGTATGAATATTCCCAGCAGCGGTGAAATGTAACTTTTCTGAGACTTGCCAGGGTCATTAGTTCTGGCAGAAATTTCCTGGTAAAAACAGTTTGTAAATAAAAATGTGACGATTGCAGCTGTTAATTGTTAGCAACAATAAACTTTGGCTGCATTTGGACCAGCTGTTAGCATGTCAGACCTATTTCTCCAGACAGAGGCTGTTCAGGAATCTACCAGGAAATATGAATTATTTATAAATTTAAATGACTGAACTACTCCTTTAAATCTTTATAAGTTCACATTTAAAACATTGGTTCAGAGGCAGCTGCCTTCTGTGTGCCATCTTTGCTGTCAGTGCTGGATGATGTGTAAGGTCCTATAAGGTCACAGCGTGGAAAACAACAAGCCCATGCTAAGCCACCATATAAATCCTCAAATCCTGCCACTGACGAGAACGACACCGTGATTACACGCATTAAAGGAGTCTGCTGGGTTTTACGCTACCCTAGAGTTGGTTTGTGTGAAAATGGAAGTCTGGTTATGTGGCTAAAGGAGAAAACAGCTTTGGACCTACTTGGGCTCTCCTGCCTTCACTCCTGGATGCTGCGTGTTGGCGTGAGAATGTGTTCCAGGTGCAGACTTAAATGCCATGGGGCAGAGTGGACATTTGTAGAAGATCTCACAGTGAGTGCTCTGGATGTGGGACTTTAGAGTCGCCTCATCAGCAAAGATGACGCTACAGTGGATGCATCTGGAGAGACAAACAACAGAAAAATTGTCCCACAACAATGCAGCCCACATGATTCTGTTTAGCTGTTCTTCTGCAGGACTGCTGCCTTCAAGTGTGGACCAGTGTCTGATTGGTCTCTGTGTGAAAATAAAAACACCATCATATAAAGTAACCAGTCTTGCACAAAGACTTTATTTCATTTCACCTGTTTTTCATTGGGAAATGAAAAAAATAACAACAGCTGATAAAATAACACAAAAACAAAGAATCAGAGACTTTGTAGTGCTTCTCGGTGTTTGTAATTTAAACTGAAAAGGCTGTCTTTGTTTTTGTTTGTTTCTGTCAAAAAGATCTAATTTAAAAATGTGTTTAATTATGAAGAGAAATTGACTGTTTGTAGCAAGTTTGTTTGTCTGCTAAACTGATTTTTCTAAAGAAACAATACGAAATACATAAAAGGGAGCAAGCACATTTATGAGAGGAGAAATATGTGTATTCTGTTTTGTTCTTTACTGAATGAAGGTAGAGCCTGCCTCTGTAAGAGTTTGGATGGATCACAAATACGTCCCGAAGTTATACTATTAGTAACTTCTGTGCATTTTACATTATAATACAAAATTTAAAGCCTTGAAGTCAAGATAAAATGGATTAGTTTAAATTGGATTGATGAGCTAACAGCTAGGCTAAGATGAGTCAAAAAAGGGGACAAGAAAACACTACTGCGGTTCCTGTAAATATAATTCTATGAGCTGTTATTATATTCATTTTACTTTACAACGTTATTGGAGCAGAAATGTGAAGATATTCCTACAGGAGGTGTCCCATGCTGCACTTGTGACTACTGCTGCTGCAAATAACTGAGGGTGAGGTAAAGGTAATAGTGTTTGCATGAACATTTACAGTTTTGTTAAGTACATTTATGGTGTGGTATCTCTAAATCAGTGGTGACGAATTCCGGTCTGCAGGATGCCGCATACCGCCCCCACCTGCTTGTTTTAGTTGTTTCTCTGCTCCAGCACACCAGAACTCACGGTCATAGTATGAACTATTTTACTCATGTTTTCTAGTCCCTATTGAATATCAGTCTGCAACCATAGAAACATCTGGCTCAATTAAACTCACCAACAGTTAAGACTGGCAACTTTGGGCAGGAACACACCTCCAAACCTCATTTTAAAGGTTCACTAATAAATTGTCCAACTGGGTGAAGTTTATGTCTGCAGTTATAGAAGAGTTTGTTTATGGCAAAGGGAAACCAGCTAACTGAGAAGAGCAGGGGCCTGGTGATTGAGATTCACAGCTGATTATTCAGCTTAGTTAGTTTCATCCTTATTATTGTTTTACAAATCAAAGCCACAGATGTAGTTTACCCAAAAATGCCTTTGTCTCTCCGACGCTAGCCCCCCAGGTTCTACGTCTGGTTGTAATTCATCATTAAACGGTTTATTTTATTGTATTTAGATCTGCAGGGTTTTAACTGGATTTGCTCAAATACTGAGGTTTTCTTTTCTTAAGGGCTTGAATCATGAGTGACTCATAAAATAGCAAATGTCAACTGTTATCTCCTTCAGCAGGTTTTAAAATCTCAGAGGGCTTTGGACGTGTCAAGTAAGAAGTTCAAGCAAATATAACATTAAAGCTAAATAACTATCAGTTAAATTTACATTTTTAACAAACTTTTAAGATAATTAAACAGGAGTAGGACATTTTAAAGGAAAACCTTTTTCTTTCTGAATAATCAAATGAACGCATGACATGATAACTGTATCTCAGCGTGGCAGACTCACCGATAGCCGACTCTGCGGGTGTAATGCAGGCAGTTCTTGGTGACGTGGGACTGGAAGTGAACTGAGCGACAACTGGCACCACATTCAGGGCAAATGTAAGGGGACTTGTGCTGGTGGATTCTCTGGTGCGACAGGAAGCTGCACTGGTTTGGCAGACGCATTTGGCAAACTGTGCATGTTTTCTATGGGAGGGGATAAAAATGAAACAAACACAAGATTGTTTAACTAGTGTGCTCAAAAATAAAGCATATTTTTTGTCAGACAAACAAAGGAAAAACGTCACTGTAGCTTACTGTGGATGTTTTTTTAAGATAATGAAGGAATTGCGTCAAGAAAACCAACGTCATATTTTACCTCAGTTTAACTTCTGATGAGTCATTTTATTTCTGTCAATGTGGACATGGGGGATTAAAGGCTAAACAGTATCCAGACACTATGATTTTTCTGTTACTTAGACTGTGAATTTAGGAAATCAACAGAATTTCTTTTTTTTTTAAGACTTTCTTCTAAGGCTGGGGTATGCAATCTACGGCTCTGGAGCCGCAAGTGGCTCTTTCAACCTTCCACATTGGAACTTAATAAGATTGGTTAAAACTTATTTTTAATTAATCCAACTGATGTTTTTAAATATAGATGCAATAAAAAAATCCATGTTCAGGCTGCTTTTAAGTACTTTAATGGAATAAACGGATTCACTATCCACCCATCCAATATTTTTTACATAGTTTTCATCCAATATCATGGAAAATATAGTAATACCCAAATTTTTTGCTAAAGCTTTTTTAAAGGAAGACTAGTTCATTTTGGCCTGCTTTTAGCACCCCCTAGAGCCCATTTGTAGAACCAAACACAAAACTTATCTCCTCGCTGTGCCTTCCTTTCTTTCACACCTTTATTGAACAGCTGAAATGTCTCCCCAGTTTTCCTTAGTATCCACAGGAGTGATTCATTACTAAATTCACAGGCTCTGCAGAAGCCTGGTAATCATCTGCTGATTGAAATCAGGCGTGTTGAAGCAGAGTTAAAAACAAAACGTGCTGGATACCGGCCTTTGAGGCCCGGAAATAAGTAGCTCTGCTGTAAATGATGATTTTAGCACATACTGGCTCAAAATGATTGAAAAATATGAAAATGTTGCTACATTTCTTAGCCTAGAAATCTAATCAGACCGTACCAGAGGCTAAATGTTTGTAATCTGCACGTTGGTCCACCGACACACCACTGGAGTCTCTGCAGCCCCGGCCAGTCTGGTGACGTGGCAATCACAGACCTCTATTGGTTTGGTGGGCGAAATGTTACTGTTACTGAGTGAAATTAAGATGGCAACGGCTCGTTTGAAATGACTTTGGCATCTACGTTGAACCATTTAGACCTGGACTTTCTTTGAGTCAAGAGCAGATAGAGGTATTTAAGTTTATTAAAGGTTGCATTTGCCCCGTCTTGGATGGCAGACTGTGGTTTTGATATCTGTAGCAGTAAGTATGCCATGTTGTTTGCTGTCCAATAGCATGTGAAGAGAGTTTAAAAAACAACTACACATTCCCATAATGAGGATGACTTGCCCGGCCAGTAAAACATAAGAACAAAATCAGATTTTTCAAGAATAAAAAATGTGTGGAAAAGAGGTCCTATAACATCTAACATCTAACATCATCTTGGAAAATTTCTCAAATCTGAAGCAAAACAACTTGTAAAGCACTACAACCCATCTAGTTCAATAGGAAGTCATTAGCCTCATTTATAAAAGAAGGCAGCCTATTTTCTGCAAAGCCATGGCGGAATCATAGCCTAGTGAACTAGACCAATTTTTGCCTTGCAAATTTTGGTCTAGGAACACTTCATTGGAACCTCCGCAGCCCCTAGCAGCATTCTGGCTGGTCAGTCACCGCTCTCTATATTTTCAAACCCATAGAGCTCTGTGATTGGTCCACAATGGTGGGCCAATCACAGTGCTCTATCTGCTTTGTGTACCAATCATAGCGCTTTATCTGTCTTGTGGGCTAATCAGAGCCTTCTGTTTGTCTGGTAGGCGGGATGGTGCAACAGAGTGGAACAGTGTTGGACTATTTGTACTTGGGCTTTATTAGAACCAGGAGCAGACAGATGTGTTTAAGTTTTCTTTTAGAAAAAAGGATGTATTTTCACCTTCTTCATCAGCAGACTACCTCGTTTACAGACATCCTTTGCGGTGCGTACGTGATGTTCATTGTCCAGTAGCAATGAGATCGTTTGAAAAACAACAGTAGCACTTGCCCCACGACCGAGAGCCATCATTGGAGAGTTGCCAGACTAAATAATATATTTGGTTAGTCTGGTTTGCCAGGCTAGTGACCACTTAGGTCATTTATAAGTGGTCAGCCCATTACAGTAATGTGTAATCGTGACCTTTTCAAAAAAGATTACGCAATGGTGGCATAAAGGGGGTATGGGGGCGATCTCTGCACTGCCGTGGACTTACATTTATCATGGACATAACTTGATTTGTATTGTTATCGAAACCACGCTCATTAAGTTTTTTTTTAACAAGTCACTATTAAAGGTGTCTCTACTCCACTGTCCCCATGGAGTCTCTGGTGTTCTGACCTCCAGCTCTAATGGAGAAAAGCTCTAGGAGAACTGCATGGATCCAGATTGTCATCTCAACTGATTCTGTTTACAAAAGAGAACCTTACAGCATGTGTTTACTTTAATTTTCAATGCAGTTGCTGGCCGGAGCTTGGCAGTAACTCCCCACGTGATTGTGACACCACCCTCTGTTGCGCCAAGGTGCAATCGCTGTTTATAAGACAGACAATTACCACAATCTTGCTATTAAGGCAGAACAAATGCCACAAAATTTGCACATTCGCACATCACTATGCAACGCCAAGCATGGCTTGTTTATAAGACACAGTTTAGGGGTAATATTACACTGAATTGCAGGCATGGTCTGTCTTGTTAAAAGGGCTACTGATACAATGATACTCATCTGAAGATAAATGAAGCACTAATATCTATGTTTATGCTTTAGGTATAATATTGAACCAGATACATTGTATTAATAATCTCTGTGGGGTACAACCTGTTGTTTTCTATTACAACGTACACATTCCATAGACACACCTGACTGCTGGACTCTGATGCTTGCTGATAGTGCACAGCCAGCAAGCTGTCATCCTGGAACATTTCGTTGCACTCCAAGCATTTTAAGCTATGCCTGCACAGCTTTGACGGATCATCCTCCAAGGGCATGGCGGTCACAAAAGGAGCACTGGATGGAGCTGAAATGACTCCAGTTTGGTTTCCACCATCAGTAACCTTTCCTCTGGTTTGTCCTGTAGGAGCTTTTGCTTGAGATGTGGAAGTGGTGAACGTGAGAACAGGTGGTACAGATGAGTTTGTTGTACTGATCATCTGATCTACAGGTATAGGTTTTAGGATTAGATGTGAGCACTGCATGACTACACCTTTGTCCTTGTGGCTTCTGGCATGAGACAAGAGACTACATTTGTTGTAGAACACCAGGCCTTTGGCACAGTGGTTGCAGGTGACCTCAATTCGCACACTGCGTCGTTCATAGTGCTGTGTCAGGCTCTTCTCAAGAGCAAATGAATCTCCACATTCCAGACACTTGTAGCCCCGGGAAGGTAGAGAGATACAGGCAGAGGTTGGTGGAGATAGGTTTGGGACATATACAGGAACAGGATTCATGCTACTCAGGACTTTATTAAAAGCTTCCACAACAGAACTTTGAGAACTGGTGAACAGTTGAACCCGAGAGACTTTCTTTGAAGCTTGACCTGCAAGTTTGACTTGTGATTGTTGATTCTGGGAAGGTTTGGAGGTCAAAGCCTGCTGGAGATCACAAGCAACAGAAGACATTGTTTGAGGAAGAAGACTGAGGTTACTAAGATGGACTGTTTTTGGTACTAGTTTGGCATTAGTCAGACTGGAAGCAGGTACCATGACAGTCTGTTGCTGGATTGCATTGGCAGCTTTCAAGATGGCAGTGCTGGCACTTTGCACTGATGCAGCAGGGATGACGGTTGCTTTGACCGTGGTATTGTTGGACAGTTTAAGGTTAATAACTTGTGAACCGGCAGTCTTGACAGCTGACACGGGAAGAAAAGCTGTTGCCACAGGTTTTATTGTCATTTGCTTGGTTAATTCAATTGTTGGCCCCCCACTGGTGGCAACAACCGTTGATGGAAAAGAGGGCCTTGGGGGTGATGAGATAATTGCGCTGGTGCTTACCATGACGCATGTGCTGTTCTCCATTTTCTTTAGACCATCAGAATCAAAGTCTGGGAGGACTCTGGTGACGGTACGTTTGATCTGTCCAGATGAGGTTTTGATTGTTTTGATTCTCACCTTTGGGATGACCGGAGTAGTGTCTACATTCGAAGCAGGGGAACCCTTACTGCTGCTCTCACTTGTGAAACCCGAGGGGCTGTCTGGTTCTTTTGTCAGTAGCTTCTTTGCTAACTCTAAGGCTGACTCTGTCTCCTGTAGTCTTTCTGCAGCTGTGGGATTTTCTCTAGATTGACCAGGTTCTTTCTGAGATGCACAAGAATCTAAAGCATCCATCTCTTCAACAGTAATTGTTTTGGAACTGAGTGCTGCTATGGCTGCAATACAAGATGAAAGTTTTGTAGATGATTTGACTTTGGGGACATTGGACCCATTGGACCCAACTCCTGATGACTTTTCGGCAAGCCTGCACTCTGGGCTTTGAACTTTTAGAGAAACTTCCTTCAGGTTGTCCTCTTGTGAAAGAAATAACGACAGACCATTAGAATTAAAGTGTCTGATAGGGCCATTCTTGCTATTTTGATCATGTTTGGTGAGTTTGCTAGTTTTGGGTTGAGTTATATTGTCCATTGCAACAGATTTGGAACTCTGGTTCTCTGCCTCTATAGAGGTTTCACGCCGTTGCTTGTTCTTAGGGTCATCTACCTCAATTTTATCTTCATCATCAAACTCTTCAGCACTAGATATTGGACTGAACTGACCAAAGGTGGACGAATGGTTGATCAGTTTATGTCCCTCTTCTCTGTGAGTTTTGCCTCCATTCTTGGTGTAAGGAGCATCAAGTGACACAGTTGGTGGACAGCCGTTATGGAGTCCATTGCCAACAGAATGTGATTGAGAATGGGAATTGAAAAATTCATTTTTCTCTGATCCGATCCCACTTGAGTCCAAGTTTTGAATGTTCTTTACAATGACACTAACACCAGCGTCTTTTGCACTGCAGGAGTTGGTTTCATCTTCACAGGAAGTCGTCCCAGCACAAGGTTGCTTCAGATGTCCTTCATGCTCTTCGTGGTGGCCCGATTCAATAGCAACTTTAGGATCCACCATGTCGGGAATGTTAAAGGCCGCTAACAGGTCGTCAAAGTCTGGTGTCTTCATATCTCCCATGTTCCTTTTTCTTTGATGGTGCGAAGGTCACCTGCATCAAAAGGAATGTTTAATTGCATGGTTACTGCCAGTTTCAAGTGCTGATATTAAAACTAGACATTTAGAAATACATTTCCCAACTTGAGGTCTGTCTACTGTTCTACAAATTTTGCAGCAAAATGTTGCAGCAAAATTCAAATAAAAATAGTTTTCCAGCAAGAGATTAAAGAGCAGATCAATACAACTCTCTCATGAAGGAAAGAGCTGAAAGGTATACAAACCCAAAAAAGAGCTAATAAATTCTCAAAATTATCCATACATTCATCCATTTTCGGCCGGGGTCGGGGCCGGGGTTGAGTCGCGGGGGCAGTAGCCTGAGCAGTGAGGCCCAGAATTCCATCTCTCCAGCCACTTGGACAAACTCCTTTGGGTGAATCCTAAGGCGTTCCCTGGCCAGCCTTGAGACATAGTCTCTCCAGCATGTCCTGGGTCTTCCTTTAGGTCTCCTCCTGGTTGCACGTTGCAACCAGGGAGGCATCCAGGATACGTTCTAACTAGATGCCCGAGCCACCCCAAATGTCTCCTCTTGTTGTGGAGAAGCAGTGGATCTACTCCAAGCCTCTCCCGGATGTCTGAGATTCTCATCCTTTCTCTAAGGGAGAACCCAGCCACCCTGCGGAGATAACTCATTTCAACTGCTTGTATTCGCAATCTCCTTCTTTAGGTCACTACCCAAAGCTCGTGACAGTAGGTGAGTGTAGGAATGTAGATCAACCGGTAAACTGAGAGTCTTTTCTTCTGCCTCAGCTCTCTCTTCACCACGACAGATGGGTACAACGCCCACATCACTGCAGAATCTGCACCAATCTGCCTGTCAATCTCACGTTCCATCTTTCCCTCACTCGTGAACAAGACTGAGATATACTTAAACTCCTCCACTTGAGGCAGGACTTCATTCCTGACCTGGAGAAGGCATTCTATCCTTTTCTGACTCAAGACCATGGTCTTGGATTTAGAGGAGCTGATTCTCGTCCCAGCTGCTTCACACTCGTTTGCGAACCGCTCCAGTGAGAGCCGGATATCACATTCTGATGACGCCAAAAGGACCACATCATCTGCAAAAGGCAGAGACTCCATCCTTAGGCCACCAAAACAGATTCTCTCATGATCTAAACCCAAATAATGTTCGGAAATTAGACTTCTGTTCAAATCACAGTTTGGCCATAAGCCTGGACATAAGGATTTCTATCAGTACACATGGTACCAGGGAAGATTAGTCATGTCATGTAACCTGAACTGGAATCTGTGATTTCTGGAGAATCCCAGAATGGCTGGAGTGCTCTAGGGCTGATGTTGACGCCCCCCCACTAATGCACCCGGTCAGACAGTCAGAGGTACTCCAGGGCTAAATTATCGTCCTGGTTGGTCCCTACCTGTGGCTATATGTTTTGGAGGCTCAGTTGAAGAGAAGAGCAGAGCTGTCAACTGGTCACCACCTAGAGGTGGGTTGGATCAGTTGGCAGGGCAAGACGTCACGCAGACCTGGTAAGCCCAACCATATGGTAAGGGCCTGCTGGTAATGACTGCTGAAAGAACATGCCGCAATTGCAAACTTCAACCCCTGTCTGGCTCGGCCAAGGAAGTGTGCATTCAATCTCTGGCTGAGCAGCTAGGAAAGAAGAGGTGGGCCTTGTCAGGGACTGCAAGATGACCAACAGTGCTGTCAAATGATAACTTTTCACTAGTGTTGCAGTTCTGACTTGGTTCAAGGTTTATCAGCCCTCTGAAGGGCTCTGGGGGACCTTGGGGAGCCCAAGCATTTGTCTGTTCTGCCTATCAGCACACCACATCTCTGACAAAGGCTTTTACCAAAGTAAAATTATGTTTATAGATTTCCTGACTTAGAAATAAATCAAGTGTTAATCTCTGAAACTGTCCAATGTCTCAGTATTTCGAAAACTCTAGTATATGACTTAACATTTTTCTTTTAGAGACGCAAAGGTTTATAGAGTTTCTTGTTTCCCTACATTAAAAAGTTGAAATCCAATTAGTTGTCACATACTCTGATGTGTGTGCAAAATTTGTTCTCCTGGGGGAGCAGTGAGCTGCGGACATAGTCGCGCTCGGGAGCCATTTGGTGGTTTTACCACCCCCAGTCCAACCCCTTAATGCTGAGTGTCAAGCAGGGAGGCATTGGGACAAACAGGGAGGCATTGACGTTGTGCCATTATCAATGGAGATTAGCCTTTCAAACACCACTGCATATGAGTGGCGCTGAATTTAGTGCCTTTGTTCTCAAGAGAAATTTGCACCATGTTTGCTCTGCTAGGATAAATCTTTTTGCTTTTGAAAAAGAACTGTGGATTTGTAAACAGCTTTTACTGGTCTACTAATTGTTTTGGTGAGGTTTTGGCACCAAAATGACTTGATTCAATTTAGAAAACTAATCTGTCTGTGTTGACAGACAAAAGATAAATACTTTAGTCTCATCTCACCCTAAAAGCATACTTTTAATTTAGTCTATCTTCCTAAATTATTCACACTTTTAACTATCCTGACACTTCTAGTCTTGAGGTGGTGTATTTAAAGTCACTGCAAGATATGTACTTTCCCTGGCGATAGGGGGAAGTACATGCCTAAATCATTGCAAGCAGCAGCATTTTTGTGTTCAAGTAAGACCTTACCAACGCCAGCCGACAGCCGTTTGATCACGAGCAGCAACGAAGAGGTAAATGTGTAAAACAACGTCGTTAATAAATAACAAAACATTTTAAAATATTGTATCGTCATGTATTTTAGACCGATTTTTATAGTTATATGTTACGAAGCCTCCAATATTTTTCAACAACTGGGCATAATTTAATTCATTTTCAACAACATTTCTATGGATATTTCCAGATGATTAACCGTAAAAACTGTATCATCACTTTAAAAAAGGCAAAATAAAAGCAATTACCCCTCCCTTCTTTCCTTTTACCATCCACACATGCTCTGTGACTCATGGTAAATAGTTACTCTCATACGATTTCCTTTCAAAACATCGATTCGCCTTTGAAAACACATTTTCTTGCCCATCGATTTTTTTTAACTGACCCACTGAGCTTTTCTGTGCTTTCATGGCAGCATTATCTTCCCATATTTTGTTCATATGTTTGAAGTATTGTCTATTAAATTTGGTATTTGTTTTACATGAAAGGCACACTTGGCAGTTTATCTCACTTTTAGTACCCCTGGTGTCAGTTTTTAATTCTCTGTGGTCAAACCAAAAATGAAACCTATCTCCTCGCTGTGCGTTCGTCTTTTTAACACCTTGATCTAACTGCTGAAATGTCTCCCAGCCTTCATTAGTATCTACAGGAGTGATTCATCACTAAATTAATGTGATGAATGATAAATGACCCATATCTGTATAGTGCCTTTCAGGATAAGAGGACTCCAAAGTACTTACAGTGTATCATTCATCCAGTCACACACACATTCACACATTGGTGGTGATGAGCTATATTGCAGCCACAGCTGCCCTGGGGCACACAGACATGTGTGACTATTACAAACATATTTCTTTGATATATTAAAGCTCCTGCCCCATTAGTCATCATACACTCATGAAATTATATCTCAGCATTTGACCCATGCCCGTGGGGAACGGTGAGCTGCATCAGTGGAACTTTTGGGTGGTTTAACCCCCCAATCCAACCCCTTGAAGCTGAGCATCAAGCACGGAGGTATTGGGTCTCACTTTTAAAGACTTTGGTATGATCAGACTGGGATTTTAACCCCAATCTCCCAGTCCCAGGGCACAAAACACTACCACTAGGTGACTGAGAAAGTTTTATTATTCTAAACAGGCTTATACATTTTAGGTGATCTATATTAATTCAAAATAAAATAAAATAAAATAAAATTAAAAAAAATCACTAATTATCCTCTCATAAATTAGAATTAACAGCACAACTCTGCCTCATTTTTATTCAATCTGATTCTCTGTAGATTTCTCAAAGTGTGTAAACTCTATTGATCAAAATTAGTGATCATGACCTGTTTTATAACTGAGCAGCCCTACAAAACTGACCAGACAGTTTTAAATACTTCCTGCCATCAGACAGGCTCTCCTTACTTTTTATTCTGAAGTGTAAATATGAAGAGGCAAACAGATTATTTAGCATTTTCTAAGCAATCAATTTAGTAAAATAACATGAATGACTTTTTATGCAAGAACAAACATAAAACATACATATTTGTCGCACGCATTTTTATTTTTGTGGCTGTGAACAGTTGAAAGGGGTCTGTCTCTGTGTACGATGGCACATTTATGGAGCTGCAAAAGCAGTTTGATCCAAATGTGACACGTCTGCAGCACACATGGCTTACCACCCCTGAAGCATCACATCTACTTAACAAACCCCAACGTTCTCGTTTATATCCATAGCTAAGAATGACGAAGTAGATGAGACAATTAAGACAATAAGAGTTGTAATGAATGGCAGGCTGAAAGTCCGATGAGGGTAAAAATGGCTGCTGAGCTGTGTGGAGCTGCAGCAGGGAGAGAGCGAGAGGCCTAGTGGAAAGAACAGCTAGACTCAGCCATGACAGCCAGAGCAACCTGACGTAAGGAGGTAAATGAAGGGTTAATGCAGAGAAATGTGGAATACACAACACAGAATGCCTCTCGACAACAGCAGTTTAATGCACATGCACTAAAAACCTCCATCCGCTGTTAAAAACAGCTACTTTCCGAGTAAACAATGGTGGAGACATGCAAGTGAATCAGCAGCTCCTCACCCTCTTGTCTCCGTCCCTCTCCAGCCACTAGCCAAACCTTCTTTCCTTCCTTCCATCCTGCAACAGTCACAACACTACTAACCCACAAAAGCCATCCACCCCACCCTGTCAGGGGGAAAAATGTCTTCTCAAACAGGCAAAGGCCCAGAGATCAGGGTCAAGTTACATCCAGGCATTTGGAGAGAGATGGTGGTCCTGGTGAAGATCGTCTTCAGTTATTCTCTGACACATAAACAGAA